TAATCCATGAACCTTATTGAGAGTAACCTAATGTTCGGGTGATCCAGAAAATTTCTCGCAAAAGACAAGCGAAGATCAGGAAACACTAGGAAGCGTTTCATCCAATCAGCGTTCAGTTGAAGTTTAGCCAGAATTATCAAGGAAGTGAAACGTCTCATGTAGAAGTTCTGACTGACTGATTGCTATACTGCTACTGTGTTTTGAGTAGCATTCCAGAATCTTCGAGCAACCCAAGAACATTTAAAATATTATAAAGACCCTATATTTTCTGTATTGAAATGAACCTTGAAGTAAAGTACTTCTCGCATACATTGCGTCTTCTCTCTCGTTGTTTAGGTGGCTGTATAGTTCTAGCTTGGGGGTTACAGAATAGCTTAGGAAACGAACATAGCGTTCAATTTGCAAGACTTATCAGATAATGTTCATGCAACAAATCATTATCATTTCAATATATCATTCTATTTATATCATCTAAATGAAATAATTAATCAGTAAAACAAAATCCTTCATATTGTAATTTTACACTTCCTTTATGTTAATTCACTAGTTTAACGTATTAATTATAATTAAGACTTACTTATTCAATGTTCTTCTACAGTAAGTACTAACCAACTTCATATATTTTTAATAATCACTTACATGTCAGAATTGTTCAGAAAAAAAAGTATCTCTGCATCAATTCATTCTTGGTGTTTAATAATAACATTAACTGTATGCTCAGTATGTACATAATTTACAGTTTTGTTCACTTATTTATGTAAACATATCTACGTTACTTTTTTCAATGTTTTGATTAGTATTTACACTTTTTTGACCAAACGTTTCCTATTCTCTCTTACTTCATCATCTTACATTTCTTTTTTCTACTTTTATCTTACTCTGTGGCATATACATATATACATACATACATACATACACATATACACGTACATTAATATACACACTTATTCCTGTGTTGGAAAAACAACTTGGCAAATGGTAAGAATAATTTCATTGAAATACTCAGATTGAATGTTGTTTTCACCCCCCTTCATCTTTTCAACTGTTACCACTACCATTCTAAAAAAAAAGTATCATTCACTCTCTAAGTTATTATTGTAACATTCCATCCCTTGTCCGATTTTTGTTTTAGTATTTATTTTTACCCCATCAGCTGTCTAAAAAAATTCTTTCACAAACATTTTTTTTTAAAATGAGGCGGTTAAAAAAATATTAGTTGTTCAACATTAATAATTCGTGTGAAATGTGAGTATAGTAACATAATAATAATAATAATAATAATAATAATAATAATAATGTCATGCTGTTTGCTTTAGACTTTCTAGACTAGTTTGTCTCTCTCTTTCTTTCTTTCTCTCTCTCTCTCTCTCTCTCTCTCTCTCTCTATATATATATATATATATATATATATATATATATGTATATATATATATGATTACTTGATGTATGGACCACCTACTAATATAATTTATTTCTATTTTCTTTTATAGACAATTTCAAATTTATACACTCGACAAATTTGGCATTGTTTAATAGTGATAGGAAATTCTTTTGTAATCCCATCTTTTTTATTCATTAGTTTGTTTCTTCCGATATACTAGGGACATTTCAAAATTTATATACAATAATGGGTTAACCAATATCAGTTGTACTTCATTTGATGTAAATAAACAGTAATATCTTTGTTACTTTTCTTTTGATATAAATTAAATTGAACAATATTACTATAATTTTACTTAAAGTACTAATTTAAGTAATAAAGAAGTATAGAAAATTGCTTACATGTTATTAGTTTCTAGAAACAGCATCAGAAAAAAAATGTAAATGTGTACTAAAATTAATTTTATATCTCTGATTAAATCGGTCAATCGCATGTCCAGTTTAAAATTCTTCATTGTATCTACTGAAGTGGACAAATCAATGTAAAACACTTTGTAAGGAAAGTGCGAATTCTAAGAATGTAGACTTTATTGATTCAATGCTGAAATGAAATAATTATTGACTGTTCTATATTTTTCAATTGTTCTTCAAATGTTTTGATCTATAACAATAAATATCACTAAACGAATCGGATATAAGTCATAATAACATAATATGAGTCTGTCGTAACTTACTATTCACGTGGTTCAAATAACATCTATTTAGTAACATCCATGCGTACTTCAACATGTAGTTACATACACTCAACTGTTCGCTTAGCTTGACGACCAAACATTGACATACAAGGCTCTTATCCACCGTCAAGGAAGTTAAGTAACTTATTGATATACGAAAATTTATGCCGGTAAATCTTTATTACTGTTAAGGTTTCTTATGTAGGGAATACTGGCGTAAAACTGTCTATATTTTATATAATTAAAATGGAATAGGCTTCAGAGTTTGGAACTGGTATTAGTTTATATCAACTGAATGGTTTGACTGCGATTTTTTTCTGTCTTTCCGAATAGCTTTAAGAGAATCTAATTAAAAGCGTCCGAGTTAGAATTATTCTTATCTTTTAAGAAAAACTTACTATATGCGATAACTTTATTTGTTTAATTAAAATAAACCTCATAATTAAATGACTCTTTTCATTCGTCTGAAAATACTATAAAAAATTTAATTACATACACCATATTAATTAATCATACCAATATTATATTTAAGCAAAATAATCGGTGTTGTGTTTAGTAGTCTCGTATTACACAATAAGCAAACAGAAACCTTGCTGTCAAACGGATTTTAGACATTATCTTATCATTTCATGAAATTGATAGTGTGGAGCCCTACAACAGAGGTATTTCATCTCTTTTCGGCTTAGGATACCATATATCTTAATTTTGTAAATCCTTTTCCATTTTTGTAAATAATATCTCGATACCTCAGATAGATTTGAATAATAAAAGCTAGCTCAAAATTCTGTAAGCTATTTTCAGACAGCTTAACAACTAAATTACACTTTCCTGTTTTTAAAGTATTTGAACTATCATTTATCGACAGTAACTGCATGATTTATTCACGCGCTTTGCAAATAGCTTACATCACCTAAAGATAATCGATAGTGAAATTATCAAGCCTAGATACCGTATTATCGGTCAATTTTCTATTTATTCCTCCTTGAATAAAAGTAAAGTGTTCGTTTTAAAATAAATACAACAAGTACATACATTCACTCGATGTTGTTTTTCTAGTATCTTCTCATTGTTATTTGACATTGCAACTGATTAGTCTCATGTTCACATATGTGCATTCTGTGTGGATTGCCTCGATACTACCTTAATTCACAAGCTTTTCAAGCAAAGATGGATAGTGACTAGTAATGGAATACATGACATGCGTCTCGTCCTATTTGCAACTAAGCTGGATGTACCTGCATCTCAGAGTTGATGTTCACTCTGGGACTCGAACTCAGTACTGTCCGATTTAAATGCCATAGCGTTATCCACTTATCTACTGATTCCTGATGGCCACCAGTTTGTGCGGTGGGATGAAGTCTAAATTCGCTTGGTATTGTTTTACTTGTATCTTCCCGAAGTGAACATCAATTCTGGGATGCAGGTACATCCAGCTGATGAATCCCAAATAGGACGAAACGTGCGTCCTAGATTCCACTGCTAGTCACTATTTATCTTTGCTTAAAATACATATCATTGCTAAAATAAACTGTTATCGTAACAAAACGGGTTGTAAGGTATTCTAAACAAAAAAACGATTAAGTGTACATATAGGAATAAACAGAGGGAGAAAAACGAAAAGAAAGAAAGAATATACATACAATCATCGGATAAAACATGATAAAACATACCGGATTTTTTCGTATTTTTCTCTCCTGTAATACTATAGCACTGAATCGAACAAGTACTATTATTATTATTACTAGCAAACAGATAAAATTAATCAGTTAGTTTTCTTTTTTTTTTAATATAATGAAATCCGAAACGATATGAATACAGATACATTTAACAAACATGCTAAACTTTACAAAACTTTCACTTGAAATGTTTATAGACATCATTTTTAACATTAAACTTATTCTTATTTTTGATTGACAAACTAATATAACCATTTTCTACAATTATACCAATGTAAACATATTCATTTTTAACTTCACATTTAAAATTTAATAAATATTCACAATGTTACTAATGAAGTTGTTTTAAATAAGCGAATTTCATTAGTTACAAATTGAAAAGATAGAAATTTTGTTTATCTTTAGTGTATTGTCCTTTTTCTCTGTTTTTTTCTTCTTCTTCTTCTTCTTCTCTTTTCATAATCACAAGATAATATGGGAAAAGTTTATTTATGCTTGTTTTTTTTTTTAAAGAAAAAGCTTCAGCTGTCTTGTACTTTTGAAAGCATTTACGCCATATATTATTGTTAAGCAAATGTGTTTCGTGTACATGTTTTTTTATATAGATATTTACAAGGGATAATAATTTTTATACAAGTGTATTCGAATAAATATGACAGGTAAATATAGTATGACATATTTATGACATGTTTACTTTTAATCACACTTATATAGGAACGTCTTCTTCTTCTTCTGCTTCTTCTCCTGCTTCCTCTTCTTCTTTTGTCTTCCATCACAATTATAAACGTGTGCGTTTTTTTGCTTTGTTTTAATAGATTAAACATGCGCATTGTAAGGGGAAAAAAAACGAAATTTGAATTGCAAAATGTTGACACAAATTATAAAGTAGTTATTGATGACTTTACAGGAGAGGAAAAAAATCTAGAATGTTTCTTTCATTAATAAGTTGATGCGTTTTTCTCCATCGTTTTTTTAATTACTTGTCTGTATTTATTTTCTTCATAAGAAGAAAATAGTTTGAGTACAATAATAATTAATTTCGTTTTATTTATTAAAGTAGTAATATACTTACTTACTTACTTACGCCTGTTACTCCCAATAGAGCATAGACCGCTGACCAACATCCTCCAACTCACTCTGTCTTGTGTCTTCCTTTCGAGTTCTATTCAATTTTTGTTTATTTTTCTCATGTCTATCTCCATTTCTCGGCGTAATGTGTTCTTTGGTCTTCCTCTAAGAGTAGAAGTAGTAATATGACTGACAGAAATTTAAAATTCCATTAGTATTCTGTTTCTTATTTGATCATGTTTGTTTATCATTTATATCAAGTATTTGATAGACATTTTTCATGTATGGATTTTTATTCTTCGAAATTGACATTTTATTAATAATTCTAATATAAAGTGAATAAACAATCATTGTGAAATTCATAAACAATATACCATAGATTTTTAAAACATTTCCTATGAGTCACTAAATTCAGATGATGTTGATTAAACCGTTTAGCCCATGAACTAATTTGAGTTATATCAAAATATAACTGTGCAAATATATAGTATGTGATTTGTCTATTATTAATTTTCAAGAGTTTGTATTGTACGGTTATTGATCTTTAAGCATAGATTTGATCAATATCAATTAGTACATAGATTAATTCAACAAATGGCTAGATATCGTCTTTATTCACAATGCGATAACTGACATTCTGATCTTAAACTTGTAGCTGATTTTATTTTGAACTCATCAGTTAGTTTTATTTTTGTCCTAGTGTTATTATTTAAACTAAGATTCGAACTTATTACCTATCACTTAACTAATCAATTAGGTAACAATAACATTTAAAATATTGTGTACTGACTTCATGAATTACTGTGAACCATAACACTGGTATGCAATAACAATAAGCTAAAGTCTATTAATCAATAGAACGAAAATCAAGTTTTGGATTCCATGGTTGATCACCATTCATAGTAGAATCAACTATTCTATTACCCATAAAATTGAATAAACAATGCGAAATAACTACGTTGTCTATTTTATTTGAACGATTTTCTAACTAATAATAATTTTCGCTCACCGTTATTGTTAACCAGTTTGACTTAGTTACTGTCATAAATGTGTAACTTATATTGGAGAGAGTAGAATTTGAAGTGATCTGCCAATAATGTTCAACTTCATTAATATCATGCCTCAGTACTAGTCTGATAATATAATTATAATAACTGATCTCTTTGATCATAATAAACTATCTTTAATAGTGATTTGTAATGCGGTCTGTTTAAGAAAATCATATGTAAGTTAACGTTAATGCGGGAAGTTTAGGTTGACTGTGTTTTTATATATAAATAAACTGAGAACAAAAGTTTACTATTGGCATCAGCGACTACTTACCTTCATAGTAGTCATATTCTATGTATTTCTGAGCATGTACATCAACTTATGAAGACTATGTGTTTCACATATTCTCCTGTTAATTGAATTATTAATAAATTTCTGCTTGTCTCTAACTTTATGTAATTGATGTTGTGAACAGTCTTATCCTATTTAGGTGATTATACGAAATACTCTGTTCTAAAATCCTGGTAAATGACTCTTGGTTTTACACTCACTGATAAGAGCTTCATCAAAAGTGTCTGAACTGTTAATAAATCCAAGATAAGCTCAAATAGTGCTATTTTAGAATCAGATTAACTACCGTATCGTAGCAAACACAAAGAAACTTTTACAAAAGCATGGATTTCACCAAATAAAGATATATCATAAATTTATGTCATTACAAATAAATATGTTCAAATTATTGATTTATTAGCTTGTAACAACCAACTATTCATTAAGAATTCGCAGAGTAAACAAGTGTATGAACTTTCATAACAAGTTTAAGGATTCTGAGTTTGAAGATTGTTAAGTCTTGAATAAAAATCCAAAATCCTATCGTGAATAGTTTAGTTTATAAATTGTGAACCAACATTCTTTATTTTAAACTAATTAAGTTGATTGAATGGCAAAGATCGATAGTGGCTAGTAGTGCAATTCTCATCTTATTTGGAATTCGTCAGATGGATGTACCTACATCTCAGAATTGATGTCCACTTCGAGACTTGAACCTTGTACCGTTCGCTTTAAACGCCATTGTGTTATCCACTTATCTACTGAGTCCTGATAGACACCTGTTTGTGCAATATGGTAAAGTTTAAATTCACTTAGTATTGTCTGCTTATAAAGCTTGTGATTTGAAGCAATATTGAGACAGTCTACACAAAGAAGCATATATGCTAATAAGAGACTAATCACTTGTAATCCTAAACAACAATGAGAAGATACAAACAAACAATATCAATTGATTTGATAAAAGTTGATTCTTTCTTAAAGTAACCAGCAAATTCTTATTCGATATTATTTAAGTACTACTTAAATAATCTTATTTACTTACCATATATTGTGAAAAATGAATAAATTATAAGCAAATATCTCTTTAAAACAAAATATTCATTTGTATTTGATAGATTTGCATTTTAAAGTAGTTGTGTTTACTGTTATATTTGAAGTGTTAACAAATTTCTTTTATCAAATGTTTTAAAGTTAATAAATACTTATTAAACCTTAGCATTATTTATCCATTTGTGAATATATAAATATGTATATGGATATATGTAGGCAAATCACTCATTTATACATTAGAGCAAAATGTTTAATGGTACTTATCAAATCCCCTAATAATATTCTCCTTTGATATTCACGTCTTTTATATGTGTATATCACTTTATTTTTCTAAATAAAAAAAAAAAAAAGATTTATTTGTAATTAATGCAAATGAATACTTATAAAGTATTGAACTCATCATAAATGAAAGTATGACCACTTTTATTTCAATACAGTGTTAATAATCAGTCTTATTATATGTCACACAGGTTATGTTCGTTATTTAAAGTAATCGCCTTTTATAAGATAGATTTACAAGTGCTTCCAGGTTTTCTATGGTGGTTTAGCTTAAGATGACTCATAAATTCAACTATTAAATCACTATAATATTCACAAAACTCCTCTCCGATTATAATCATCATATGCTCACCAGTGACTGTCTCCAAAAGGTATTTCCTGGAGTTCTAGTGAGGAGCACTGACCAAGGGAGTTCAGCTGGGTCTATCATACCGTGAAAGACAGTAGTGGATGTGTCGCTCAATTTCGTGGATTAGTTGAACTTAAATGCCGGCTCAGTGGTCTAATGGTTAAGCGGTCGCGCGCGAAACAGATAGGTTCTTGGTTCGAATCCCGCGAGGAGGGCTCGTGGATGCGCACTACTGAGAAGTCCCACAATAGGACGAAATGGTCGTCCAGTGCTTCCAGGTTTCCCAAGTTGGTCTAGCTTCAATTGACTCATGAATTCAACTATTAAATTATTGTAATATCCACAAAACCACTCTCAGATTCATAAGTGTTTACTCTGTATTTCGTCTGTTTTTAATACAATATTTGGAAATACATTATGGTGGTCTAGCTTCAACTGACTCATGATTTCAACCTGTGAAATTTACTAAAATCTCCACCAAACTCATTCTGAAATTACATTATTGTCATTTCGCATTATGATTAATTGTATAAAAAAACACTGAAATAAAGTGTTTAATGTAAATTAGAAATGATGATTGTTACAGAATTATAAGGATGATCAAATAATGTATGGTCTTGAAATTATTATAAATAAACCAGCTCTATATGTTTATTCACATAAACTACAAGATAAATCGGATAACTTGGTTTTGATATTCTCTATTTTTTTGGGGGGGGGAGGTGGACTGTAATCAGATGAGCTGATATAAAGATTTATCCTGTGTTGATGACAGTTTCATTAAGTACAAGTTACAAACTGATTAGATTGCATTAACTTTGAAATCAGTACTAAAAACCCTTTTATTAACTGATCACACGCTACTTCTTAATACATTACTTTCATTGGGAAATAGAAATGGAAGTAAATTTATGTTATGCGTATAACTACTAAACAGAACTATTTTATATAAAATTTCGATTTGTAATTAACTTTTATTTCATAGAAGAAACATTAGGTTTAATACATCTATGTATTTTCATAGAATAATGGTAATATTTTAAAATAACCAGGTAATCAACTATCTACTTCAATAATCTTAATTCAGTATTTTATAGAAATTTTTATTTCCACAATTATTTCTAGTTTTACACTGTGTAACATGAAAAATAGGTGTCCTTATCAAATTAATTGGTTTCAATTAACAGTTAATGCTTAAGATAATAATGTATTTAAACAAGAGAGATATTTTTTATTAAGTTGCGTTTGGCTTCAAAATTAATGTTATTCTTCCATTTCGTACAATAATACAGAATAGTTCAGTATATGATTGAAACACAACTTAATAGTAAGGCGGATTGCTCAAACGTTTGAGGTACCTATTTTTCAACGGTCCAAATATTTAAAATTTTGATTTCATTGAACAACTATAATGGTAAAATATATTCACTAACGAAATTGTATAAATAGCTTATAACCTATCATGATCTTGACTGTTGGAAAACTCAAACTGAAAAGCTTTACTTCTTGAGATATTTTCTTTATTTCTATTGTTACGAAATGGGAAACAATGAAATCTGGATTTATGCAACCATTATATGATAGATTAAGAACTCGTAAAGTCGTTTGTGATTGATGATGTACGGTGTCACTGATGTATCAGTAAAATGATGTAATTCGAATATATTTGATTTTTAATCTAATCAGTATTAAAAACTAACAAGAGTTTTCTGTAAAAAAGCACAAATATTGACAAAAGTACTTCCAGGTCTATCGTTAATCTTATGACAGTTCACCATTTAGAACACTTGCTAAATGTGACACTTTATTGATCCCTATTGTTTTGTTGTCAGCGTTACCTAAACTTGCAATGACAAAAAACCAATTATTTCTCAATATCAAATGAAGCTTTCCTGAACGTGAAATTATCACATAACAACCGTTAACATTATTCACATATAATTCAGAAACAATTTAAAAGCACTAAAAAAGTTGCGTTTAAATAAGAAAACTGGATTCATTTGCTTGCTGCTCAAAATCAAATCAAGAAAACTATGATTATTGTTTTTTTTACTTGGTGTTGTTTACTTGTATATTCTCATTGTTGTTTAGGATTACAAGTGATTAGTCTCTTATTAGCATATATGCTTCTTGTGTGCAGATTGTCTCGATATTGCTTCAAATCACAAGCTTTATAAGCAGACAATACTAAGTGAATTTAAACCTTACCACATTGCACAAACAAGTGTCTATCAGGACAATAGTTTTATTACATTTACCAGCATTAATTTGAACTTTAAAAAATATTTTTGCGTAATTTTTTCCACTAGTTAAAATCATGAGTCAATCGAAGTTAGACCACCATAGAAAACCTGGAAGCACTGGCTGGCCGTTTCGTCCTAGTGTGGCACTCTTCAGCAGTGTGCATCCCCCCGCGGGATTCAAACCCAGGACCTATCAATCTCGCGCGCTAGCACTCACTAGTGACTGACTTCAAAAGGCATTTCTTGGAGTTCTAGTGAGAAGCTGTTACCAGTGGAGTTCAGCCAGGTCTGTTGTGAGATATCAGTTCACTGAAGACAATGGTGTAATGTGGCGCAACTTCGTGGATTGATTGAAGTTAAACATTAACACCGTCGGATGCCGACTGGCTCAGTGGTCTAGTGGTTAAGCACTCGCACGCAAGACTGATAGGTCCTGGGTTTGAATCTCGCAGAGGGCGGGGTCGTGAAGGAGTCCCATAACAGGACGAAACGGCCATCCAGTGCTTCCAGGTTTTCCATGCTGGTCTAGCATCAATTGACTCATGATTTCAACTAGTGAAATTTCTAAACTCTCCACAATACCCCTTCTGATATAATTTTTTTCCAATAATAATTTATAAACATTTCATATATATAGAGCTCTGTTTAAAGGACAATTATTAGTCGAAATAACAATATTATTACAAATAATGATTAAAATGATAGTAAGTGTAAACCTATTTTGTCCATAATACAGTTTGTAAATAAGATTTATAGGTCATTATTTATTAATTATTTGAATTCATTTCATATGTATTTTATTTAATTCATTATTATACCTCACTGATTATATATATATAAACAATCAAATTAAAAAAATTGATTGAGATCATGAACCGATTGATGTTAGACCACTGTTGGAAACCTGAAAGCACTGGATGGCCGTTTCGTCCTATCGTGGGACTCCTCAGCAGTGAGCGTCCACCATCACGCTTGCAGGATTCGAACCCAGGGCCTTCGGTCTTGCGCGCGAACGCTTAACCTACTGGACCACTGAGCCGGCATCCATTGATGATAGTGTCTAACATCCGTCCAGTGCTTCCAGGTTTCCAAAGGTGGTCTAACATCAATCGGTTCATGATCTCAATCAAAAAATCTTAATAATCTCCACAACCCCTGTACTAGTAAATCAAAAATATTTGAAAAACACAATGAGATAAATACTGTCATTTGTAAGAAATGATCTCTATCTGAAGTTTGTACTGATGATGTCGTTTAGAAAAACAATGAAAACTCCACTATCAAACTATTTAGCTCAGAGAATAAAACTTTATCGAAATTGTCATTTTTAATATTTAAAGTATTATTTCGATAAAAGTTAATAATAATTAACATTATTGAAATGTTAATAGTTAAATTCATAAGTTGATCCAAGCTAGACAACCTTCAAAAACCTAGAAGTATTGAACATTCATTTCGTTTAAGTATGTAGGTCCTCAGTACAGAGCCTCCGTGATCTTTCATATAGGATTCGAAATCATCATTTAAAACAAAAAAGATTTCTATATTAAATAATAATTCAAGTATTTCCATTTTTAAATGAGAATATATAATCAGCTCACTGAGTACTTTTATAATCACTATTATTACTATTATTAAGAGAAATAATAAAATTTAATGAATAATAATACCAACCGACAATTCATTAAAAACTTTTATTGAATAATTTTACGAGTAAAACCTTTTCTCTATCTCTCGTCATTCACATATATTCCATTAACCAATGATAAACAAATGTGTTGTAATATATTTAACATATTTGGAACCATATAATGAGATTGAGTTCCATTTAAATAGACTATTATATCATCTTCATGTCAATAATCTTAACAGATTTCCCTAAAACTACACTAGCTCTTCTTTATTAACTTCAAATATATATAAAATATATGAGAAATAATTGATCTATTCGAAATATTGTCTACAGTAAATTATCAGAACTTATATAAATATTAATTAAGATCATGAACTGATCCATGTTAGACTAATATCGGAAACCTGGAATCACAGGATGATGGGTTTTTTTTTCATCATAAGACCTCTCAACAGTGCTCATTTACAGTCCCATATACGAGATTCGAACTTCGGACCTTTGGTCTCATGCGAACGCTTAACGTTTGAACAAGTGAGAATTAGTTAGCTTCCAATTATTTTTCTAGCCGAAGTCAGTATTCAAAGAAAAGTGCCTTTGAGAACATCAGTTAGCTGGTAACGCTTATAATCAAAATTTCATTGATCAAAAGAAAAATATTGAAATTGAAGCATAAAATGCAACATTGTTACTAAAAGCTTAACTTACTACAATTTGCCTTCTGGGCTGATGAAGTTATCGAGTATATAGTCTGCAAAAGTTTGGTCTACATTTACTCACTTAATATTTGTGTGTAGAATAGAATAGTTTTCATTACAGTTAGAAACAGATAAATCTTTTTCATTCATTCACTTGTTGACATGTTAAATGAGAACACAATTGAAATAATAGCTGTATGTTTATATTTTCAAATATTTGAGTGCTTAAAAGACCTTGTTAGCTGATTATATGACAGTCTCCAGTAATACAACTGGTCGTTAAATTTTTAATAGTGCAAATAAAAAAACCTTACAAGAGGTCTTAAAAATCATGAAAAGTATACTGAAATAAGAAATTACAGATGTAAGCATGACAGAAGAAATCGTTTAAATAAAGTAGATTAGTTCCCTTTGAATAAATATCCTTATGAAAATAAAATAAATACCAAATATATTCAGTGAATATAATAATAACTTATTGTCAAAATGTTAACCATCTAAGAATTGTACAATTTTTAAGTGGTTTACACAATGATTTCACTACGGATAGAAACATTGAAAACCATCGAGCAGTAGACGTCTGTTTTGATCTTGGCCAGAGAACTTCTCGGCAGCGAGAGCTCGTAACTCTGGTAGAAGTTGAATTCAAATGGTCAGGTCTCACAGGGAGCACAATACGTTTATATCACGGAGTATGGACTCGATAAATTTACACAAATCTGTTCAAATTGTACTCAAAAGATCATTCTAAACGAATGACACTACTGGTAGTGGACCTGAATAAATTTGTTTATTCCTACAAGACTGATATGATAAATTACTTAGAAATTAATTCATTATTTTTATATAAAGTATACATTACAATTTTTTGTCTTCTAATGTATTGCAACGTAAATCATTTTCAGTTTGAAATAATAAACAAAAAAAATCTCATTAAATATTTATTATTTCCAGAAAGGGGTTTTTGTGGAGATTGTAGTAATTTTTAGTGGTTGAATTATTGAGTCGATTAAAGCTAGACCACCATGGAAAACCTGGAAGCATTGAATGGCCGTTTCGTCCTAGTATGAGACTCCTCAACACTAACTTAACTTATTTTTCAAAAGTCATTACTTTTCAAATTCATTTGGTATTTTTGCTTGTATCTTCCTATTGAGGTTTAAGACTGCAATTTATCAGTCTGTTATTGGCATATGTGCACACTGTGCGTATGCCTCGATATCGCCTTAATTCACAAGCTTTGTAAGCAATGATGGATATTGGCTAGCAGTGGGATCCAGGACGCGCGTTTCGTCTTATTTGGGATTCGTCGTCTGGATGTGCCTGCATCTGAGTTGATGTTCACTCTGGGACTCGAACCCACTACCATTCGCTTCAAACGCCATCGAGTGATCCACTCAGCTACTGCGTCCTGATAGCCACTTGCCTCACCCCTTTGTACAAGCGTGTTGTAATAGTGAATAGTCGGTGACTAGAATTCCTAGCTGTAATAGAGCTTGTATTATTAAATAAAGTAGCCATTTCACGTATTATTACTTATCGTCTCAACATCCTCAGTTCTCAGTAACTTGATCTTTGATATAGTAAAGTTACTAAGTCAGTAATAGTATTTTTTACAGATTGTTGTTTACTGAGAGGGATCAAGTTAATCAGTTTTCCATAAGATGATCCTTGTATATATATTACATAATTTTCGCCACAAAACTTTAATTGAAGTGTTATTTTAAACTTTAAACTGTTCTAGTTAATTGTTAAAATACCATGTTGGTTTTCATAATGATCCGATATCATCAAAAATATTGAGCGATGGGTATAATTTTTATACAATTTTGAATTCTCTTTTTTGTCATACTTACTTACTTACTTACTTTTGCCTGTTACTCCCAATGGAGCATACTGATCAGAGCTTAATTGTCACTATCTAAGAGTAACCAATATTTTATTCTTTGGATTCATTTATTAAATCATGAATATCAGTCACTTTGATATCTGTTATCCGTTGGCAGTCAATTGCTTATGATTCATAACCATAAGACTTAAACTCTACGGTTACCGATAATCCGGGCAATCTTAAACAATATAAGTGTTGAGAGTGTATATTTCTCAAAATGTTAAGAACGTTTATTTGATACCTTTCGGATTCAACATGCTTATCTGATAATATCAGGTGTGGTCTTAGATATACACTGTTGAGGAGTCCCATCTTAGATTGACAGAGCTATTCAGTACTTCGTAGTTTTTAGTGGTTGTTTAACTAACATCAATTTGTGTTGTTGACTACAAAATTGTTTGCCTATGTTAAAAATTTTTTAGATCTTTTTACTCATCATGCTTTTTTAACAGTAATGTACTCTCAGAAACATACATATGCTTTTAGTTATTGTTCATTGAGCTGATTCTTGAAACTTTTCATCAAGTATTAACTTAAATAATAATCGGCTACAAAAGATACAATCATATACTTGGTCTTCACTCAATGAGAATATATTCTAATTAATAGAATACTGATCAATTGATTGTATAGAAATAAAACAATATGACGGATTGATAATTCTTCACGAGACTGACGACATGTTGCATTTACTCACTGTCTTCAAATTGATATGATCAAGAACTGATTACGAAATCACAGTTCCACTGTTTTTCTTCTTTGATTTAGTAAACCACTATCCTTTACACCACGATACGGAACAAAATAAATGTGGTTAGTATTCGTAAAAGTATAGCTAACTGATGAGCTTAAATGTCTACAGGCCATTAAACGTCTTGTATTGTCATGTTTTGAATGTCAGCTGATTATACATTCATTATGACACCTTTATGAAATAACGTACAAAATTTTCATGAAGTCGTTCTTTAAATGTTGATATATTTTATCATTCTCAGAGTTTCTTCCGTTTTCTTGCACATTATACATTTATGTAGCTCATGTAATTTGGAATCAGATCAAAGATAAAAATTGAATACATTATTTCGTCATTACATTGTTTATAACGTGGGGAAAAGTTGGTGTTTTTATTTTCCCTTTTTTCCCGTGAGTTAACCTTCTACAACATTAATATTACTTAGCTTCCGTAATAATGGAACTGGTACTCATAAATATTACTGTATAGATAAACGTGGATGCTAAAAAAATGACTATTTGGATAGAAATAAATATCCAGCTAATGGGACTTCGTGATGTAAATAACCTTCAAACTATACAGAATCTTCATAGAACAACCTTGATGTTCACTAACGGTCACATACGAGATGACCTTTCCGAAGTTCTAATAAGAAACCATTAGCTTTAAAGTCAATAAAGTTGGGAGCAAGGCAGTTATCTTTCCCAAGCGAACCACCATGCAATTACTTAGTGGTTTATGGGCATTACATTTACCAAGAAACCTAGAGGTTTCGAGTTATAATTATGTGTATTTGCAGAATCCCAAACTAAGATTAAACAAACAACCAATGTTTCTTGTCCTTAGCGCTTTGGCAAATAATAACTTCGCATAGTGAAAGTTATGTTTCAATAACAAAGTAAGTATATGTGTCATTTATTGATTACCTTTGCTTCCGTTATAAATAAAGATTGTATGACATTCCATTCTACTCAAGCTTATGATTATTGATCCTTTTAAGGGTAAACTGATATGGTAATTCAAGAATATATTACTTAGATTCTCCTTTGTATCAGCTCAGTTTTATTATTTCCTCAGTTTTCCCTAGATATATCTCCACAACCCCTATACTGATACGATAATAAGTTACCGTAAAAATCAAATCACAAACTAACAGGGAAAGTAGAACTATAGAATCTTTCTTGATGTTAGTATACCAGCGTATAACGAAGTACATAAGTGTTCGTTTCATATTTGTTGTAAGATCATAAAGCGTTAATCCCAATTCTTTTGAATAGATTATTAAAAGTGTACACTTCTAAGGAAACTCATACATAAATAAAGTAGTTTTCCAGTTCTTTAGTGTTTTTTGCCAATAATACAATAAACATCACTAAACAAATATAAATATGGTGAAAAATTACAACAGATAGATTGTGATTAACAATGTTACTTAAAACAAACATTTAATTCTTTTAACACTTATCAATCGAATATTATACCTAACTCCTAGTATTGATTTTCATATTGTAACTCAAACTCAATACCTTTGATTTGTAACATTCAGTACACAAAAAAACTGATTAAAATTCATTCTCAGAAGGGGTTTGTGAAGATTTTAGAAATTTCACAGATTGAAATCATGAGTCAATTGAAGCTAGACCATCATGGAAAATCTGGAAGCACTGGATGGCCGTTTTGTCCCAGTATGGGACTCCTCAGCAATGCGCATTCACGATCCCGCACCCCGCGAGATTCGAACCCAGGCCCTATCAGTCTAAAATCTCCACAAAACCCTTCTGATAATAATCATCTGCTCACTAGTGACTGACTTCAAGAGATACTCCTGGAGTTCTAGTGAAAAGTCGTTACCAGTGAAGTTCAACCAGGTCTGTGATTTCAATCTGTAAAATTCATTCCTTCATTGTAATAATAAAATAACTCAACTCCTTACTTTAATAACAGTTTGAATTATGTAATTATTATAAAATATTTTTGAATGAATTTACCTGAATTATTTGAAAATTATTATTATTATTAATTTTTTTGCTGTTGTTGTTGAGAATTTCAAATAAATGTCATTAGTATCCAAGGTGATTTAAATGATTTGTTTTTTTTTCAAAATTCAATTCCATATTTTACATTGTTATACATATATGTATATAAATTGATGTTTTGTCCCATTAAGAAATAATAATAATACTACTAATAATAATAACAGTAATAGTAATAGTAATAACAATAATAATGATAAGAAAATAAAACATGTTTTTATTTAAGCTCATATTTATTAGTTTATAAAGACAAACATATGATTAGGCGTATAACTAACTAAATATAAGATCATTAAATTGTATGATTATAGATCTGTATAATTTAATTTTGAAAAAAACAAACAAACGAAACAAACAAGGTTAAATGAACAGATATTTATTACATAATTTATAATAAATACGTTAGATGATACATTCAGTACAATTCAATGTTATCATTAGATTAACAATGATTATTAATAAATAAGGAATTCATTAAAATAACTTTATGATTATTATTAGTATTATTATTATCATTTAAACTTTTATAATGAAATTAGTAATATAATTGTCTTGTTGTTGATGATCTACACATTACTACTACTAGTAACAATAATAATCATTATTATTATTACTATTATTATTATTATTATGATAGGGACTGATTATTGTTTCCAATACTTGTAATTGTTATGTAATTAGTAATTACTAAAGTATGATGTAATCAAGTAAACAAATAAATAAGATAATCGATGAATAAATAACTCTATACTATACAATTTAAATTATATTTATCTAAGAGTAAAATAAACAAACAAACAAACAAAAGACTAAACCAAAATTGACATCAAGTAAATTGAATAAAGAAATGAATTGAAAAAATGAATGAGAACAAGAAAATTCTTCATAAAATATGAAAAAAACTTATTTTAGAATCATTACAATATACATATGCTATATATGCTATATATGAACAATATAATGATATTATGCATAACTTCTTTGTTTAAAAAAAAGAAGAAATCATTTGACCTTAAGTTACTTATTAGATTGAAACAGTTAAGTTGTGTAAAGAGAATAATTTTGTTCAATCATAATCATTAGGTGATTGCTTTGACAGAAAAAAAAAGGTAAACAAACAAAACAAAACCACCTGAGATTTATGTTCATTATACAATAGAAACAAAGAATTTATTGTTTCCATTGAAGAATATATATATATAGATCACTTTATAAAGTCATATACAAATAAATCATTTTCAATCCGTAACATAAATTGTTTTATTCATTGTTTGTTTGTTTCTTTTTGAAGAAAACAATTTTTTTCTTTTTTTTCTCAATTCCTGATTAATTTGTATGTAGAACAGATTGGATAAAATGAGATAAAAGTTGAATATTTATATTTGTATTAAACCAATCCATTGATTCAATTCCATTCCAATATGATGATAAATGATCTGGAAAATTAAATTTTCGATTTGATAAAATTTGCATAAAATAAGCATGATGAAATAATTTTTCATTGTTAAATAAATTTATATCATCATCAGTGATATTATTATTTAATTTAGGATTGATGATAGTAGTATTATTGGAAAGATTTGATAAAAAATGAGTATAAGACTCATGTGACAATAAAGATGAAGGAAACAATGGTTTAACTACTTCAGAATTTCTCTTTTCTAGTGGTGAAAATAATAATGATGATGATGAAGAAGAAGAATGAGATAAAGAATCGGAGGGCAAGACTGATGATGTTAGTAATGAGGTTGTCTCATTGTTCTTCTTAGTTGAATTTAGAATGTGATCAATATTAAATGACAAAGAATTTCGCATGTATTCTTGATTATTTGTATCTGAATTATTTTGTGTTTGATACAGCGATTGGAATATATAGGGTATATTCGGATCAACTGAACAAGGGGATAATGGTCCACTCACTGATGATGACGATGCAGATGATGAAGACGTCAGAGGTAAATTGGAATTATGAACAGAATGTGGTGTACACATAGATATTGTACTCGCTGATGGAATAGTAGTTTTGTCAATTAACTCTAACATGTTTTCCGATTTTTCCTCAAGATATTTATTATCTTGAATACAGTTATCCACTATATAGTCATCCTTTAAATCATTTTTGGTGGTGTAAACATTCAAAAAATTTTCATTTAGTGATGAAGCATTACTGGATTTACCTGTCTTGGTAGTAGTATTTGTCTTGATTAAAACAGGTGTATTACTATCAAAGTCAGAATGATATGCGTTAGTAAGGACATTACTGTTTTTGTCCACAATGACTTGAGGATAAATGCTACTACATATCCTGCTATCCATAGCGGTAAAAGAAGTAGTAGAAGTCTCAGTTTGATTTAATAAATTACAGCGACCATTATTTTGTCTTTTACTATTACAGATGTCGATAAATTCGGAATAATTGTAAAAACAAGCATTGCTGCTACTGTCAAAACTTAAACGTTTATAACGTTTACGTCGTCGTAAAAAACTGCCATTATCAAACATATCTAAAGAATTTGGATCCAAGGTCCAGTAATTACCTTTGCCTGGATTACCAGGTTCACGTGGTATCTTCATAAAACAATCGTTCAATGATAAATTATGTCTTATAGAATTTTGCCATGCTGGAAAACGTTCACGATAGTAAGGAAAATTCGACATAATAAAATCACAAATTCCACCTAATGTTAAATGTTTATGTGGTGAATGTAGAATAGCCATTGTAATTAATGCAATATATGAATAAGGTGGTTTTACTGAATGTAATCTTATTCCACGGTTGTGAAGTTTGCCATAATTCATTATTGATGATTTTGTTTTCTTCCCTGACCATAGTAACGATGACGATGCGGATGACGATGGTAAAGCTCTGTTAATTCGTGAATGTTTTACCTTTCTTATCCTATCTGCATTCGTTCTACGCGAATAGCTGCGACCATGATAGTATAGATAACTATTGTTGTTGTTAACTGCACTGCTATTTTTACCTATGTTACTGATTGTGCAAGTGGTTACGGTACTAGCAAATCTAGGTAAATGAGATGTCGTCGGGTCGAATAAACCATAATTATTCAACATAGACTCAACAGGAATGTCCGTTGAACTACTGAAAAAGTTGTGATTTTTATGATTATCAATGGTAGCAGAAAACGTTGTATGAATATCTGGTTTCAAAGAACATAGCGAGTTAAAATAATCTACATGTGTGTTATCCACAACGTTATGCAATTGAGCACTATTATTATTATTATTATTATTATTATTATTATTATTATTATTATTATTATTAGTGTTATTGTCGGTAGTAGTCATATTTGTATAAGGATAAAATGTATTTATTCCAATCACATTTAAATTCATATATTCTCTATCCAGTTTAACTTGTATTAAATATATCTGTATACACGTAGATGAAATAAATTACTTTCAGTTGTTTGTTTTTCCTTTCCAGATAATTGCATGCGTTATACATATCCATTTACATACACGTACACACATATAAATAACTAAAAGATACGAATAGAAAATTGCTGAGGAATAGAGTATGAACAAATATTTATTCCACCAGTGATAAACTTTCCAGTTTTAGGCTTATTTCTGCCCTTATACTGTGCAAATTTATCCATCTGATAGTTTTTATAGGCAGATACCAACCATATCTCTCTCTTATGTAAGTTTATTTGGTTATACCAATGGGACATCAGAATATGTATGTTTACTAGATGATATATACACACAAACAATTATTATGTTCATCATCATACCTTTATTATTTACCTTCTTTTTAATATTATTAGTTTTGTTTACATAAAGTATAAAACCGTACGGAAAATAATTTAAATTAGGATTAGTGATTGGGCCATCTAAACGACCAATAATTATTGTGCGCGCAATACAATAACGGGAATAATAATAGCCTATATTTTTTATTTTATAATATTAATGACAATTATATTTGAGTCCTTGAGACGACATTTAGTAACTGTTATGTTATATATGTCTTGCTTATAGAGACTTGTATATTACACAGGAATGATCGACATATTAGTAGTAGCATGGATAGTAGCACAGATACATGATAAAATTAGAACTCTAATACTACTGCTACTAATACTGCTATTAGTAATAATGGAAGTTTCAAGCTGAATACGGCAGTCTTTGTAGAAATCCCTCTGTCAGTACGATATTTGGAAATCTGAGGTTACCTTGTGTTAAATTTCATACCATTTCTACCATATAAAATAACTCATTGTTTTTCATCTAACACCATACTTCCAAAAATGTGGTACATGTTTTCGAGACATTTTTACTCTAGTGTTTATGTAGTATTAAAATATTGAGCAGTTGATAAGACTATAATTTATGAACGAACCAATCAGATTTAGGATAATAGGTCCTGAATTTTGGCGCGAAATTCATCCATTCATTTGACGAAATAGAGTTTTGGCTTTATAGCTGATGTCAGTTAGTGATGAAAACCCTATATCTAATTACTAATCCTAACTATCAACTGTAAATATTAATCCTAATTATTCACACTGGTTTATAACCCTCATTTAGCCATAGTATGTAGGTGGGTATTTCCAAGGTCAGTTTAACGTCGGTCGAAGGTCATCCATAAATTATAGCCTCACTGAGCAGTTTTCAGTTTTAAATTGAAGCATTTGGACACATTGTGTTTTTTACATGTTTTAATTAAGTTCAACTAACTTGTCATATTGGATTATATTGTGAATGGGGCTAGATAATTAAAATGTCTTTTTCTTCACTGCTAACTATAATAAGGGGATTAGATGAAATGATACCGTCAAAAGTTATGAACAAAACTCAAGGGGGATAAGTGAACCCATTAAATAGTGGGGGAAATTTTAAGATGAACAGTTGATGAAGTAAATTAAAAATAACAAGTGATCATGACCGAGGTAAAACTGAATATAAGACATACTTTTCTCGAATACAAAGTTCAACCCCCGTCTCACGGACAACTGGAGCTTCTATTATCTTCATAAGCTGTAGACAAAAAATTCTAACTTCTATAAAGAACAACAAAGTCAACATATGACTTAGTCGATTGAATGTAGTCAATTCAGCCGGTATTCAAAGATATAACTCCTAACTACTTTCCTATAAGACTTGTAAAATAAGGCCTTAAAATTTCATGCACATCTGTATATTATTGAAAAGATGACAAGTTGACTTATAACATTTTGGCTTGTATATAATGTACAACTTCAACCTTCATTTTCAGTAGAAATATCCCGACATAATTGTCATTTAAAATATGAATATGTTTTTCAGGTGAAAAAAACAACCTGTGTAAGAATGTTAGTGAACATTCAAAGGAAATAATACAATTCGCTAACTATGTAATAAAGTCACAAACTGGTATGTAATTCTGTGAATTTGCTAATATCACCTTTTTTTTAAATTTTCATATCAACAAATAGAACGATAATATTTACAGATGATTGACAGTTCCATAACTTTTAGTGAAAAACATTGTAGTTAATTAATTTTTTGCTGTAATATTTAATACTTCAGTGACGTATACTAAGGTTTATTGAAGCCTTGGCTATACGGAAATTAAAACCTTCTTTGTGTGTTCAAAAACAATTTGTTCTTACACTTAACCTACCCTGGTAATACTGATTTATTATCCAGAATGGTAATCACATTTGTTTTTGTGTATTTTATTATTTTTCCTTTGTTATGACTTACCCTTAACCTGTCTAGTTGACCTTTTAATTTTCATATATAAATGCTCTTAACAAGTATATGTGTGATCAGATTGTTCGAAATGTATTGCGCAAATAAATCACATAATTCTGATAAACTACGTCTTCTCATTGCATTATCGAAATACTTTGATAGCTATCTTTTATCCACTTTCTTACTGAAATTACTTGATCTTTTAAATTACAATAGTTATTATACTTAGTGAGATATGTAAACCGAAACTCTTATTATTTAATGATAAAAACGTTTTAATTATGATATTTAATTAAGCAACTTATCAACGCTAAATAGTTGAGATACATGTCGTTCATACAAAAATGTTGTGTACCACTATACAGTGATGTCTGGAAAAAAATCATGTCGTTTAGGTAAAAAAAAAACGATAAGACTAATAGTTTAAGGTGTAAAAGATATGTAAACAATTTAATTTGCAAATAGAAATCAGCTTTAGGAGACGTTAGTTGTTATGAAAGAAGTCTGTTCTAGTTATACAAATGCATCGACTTTCTATACTGTTGTCAGTATATAAGTACATATTATTCTGAATACTTATTTAGTTATATTACTTTTGATCTACTATGTTATTCGGAAGTGTGATGATTTAAACTGATGATCAATAATCCAGGATTTTATAGTGTTTCATTCAATTAGTATTTCATTACAACGGAATGAGTATTGATCTAGAAGTGAAATTTATGAGATATAATAACAACAATAACCCTAAAACACCTGATCAAACCACTATTATACTCTGGAGAATGCAGTCTACAGAACGCGCATAAACTGAGTTGCTTCTAACCAAAAAAATAATCATTACACCCTCTCTTCACAAACATTTAGAATATTCGAGGCATTGGACTGCTATCTCTTTCTTTGATGTAACTTATAAGATTCAGTTGAACATTTCTAGATGTCTGCTCTTGAACCTACTATATATTGTGAAAAGTTGATTTTGTGAAAATCTAAGGACACTGACAAGTATTTAATGTATTTTACACCTTGACATTTCATATACAGAAAAATCTATCATATATAGAGAATAGGATAGTAATATTATTTAAAAAACAATACATAATTTCGAGTACGAAAATAGGTGAGGGTGGGATTTCTTAACTAAATAGATGGGGTATGCATAAGAACATTAAGCGTAGATAGTAAGACCAATGTTTGACCGCTTTCCTTTAACTGGTTAACCTACTAAATCTAATATAGTTGGATGTCTATCAAATGATTTATTATCAGTCACTTTTACCGTTGCAATGTTTCAGAAAGCAATGGCTATTTACAATCTAAAACTAAAGTTATGCAAACAAAAAGTTTTCTGGATTCATATATTTACAACAGATCAAAGTTAATCATGTTTCGTTCTTAGAGAGTATTTACAACAATATCCTCATTCTTTAAATATGTATTATTACATCTTATTGTTTTTACGAATATTTTGCCAGCTCTAATTCACTGTTATCATTTATACTGTATGTCTTGATTCTTAACCATGAGATAAGTTTGGCTCATCATCACACCATGAATTCCAAAAAGTGTATATTTCTTCCATAACAATTTTCTAAAACTTTCGATCCCAACACATTATCTTCATATTATTACAAACAAACAATTTGTTTTAGAGTGATCTAAGTTGTGAGTCATGGAATTATGCCCTGAGAACATTAAGATCTTATTTATTCACTTGCGACTGTTACCCCTCATAGACGAGCTCAGGCCGTCTATCAATATTCTCCATCCAACTCTGTGCTGGACAATCCTTTCAAGTTCCTTCTAGTTGCTACATATCCTTTTGATGTCTGCTTCCAACACCCGACGTAGTGTGTTCTTCAGTCTTCCTCTTTTCCGTTTCCCTTCAGGATCCCAAGTTAGCGCTTGCCTCATGACGCAGTTTGGTTTCTTCAATGTGTGTCCTATCCACTTCCAAAATCCTTTCCCAATTTCCTATTCATCTAGAAGTTGGTCTGTTCTCTTTCGCTGATGGTTTCCAGTCAACAGATATTGAGTATCTGGTATAGACAACTGTTTATAAATACTTGTACCTTTTTGCTGATAGTTGTGGTAGTTCTCCAAATTACAGCTACATACAGTAAGACTGTCTTGACGTTCGTACTGAAGATTCTCACTTTGATATTGGTTAGCAGTCATTTTGAGTTCCATATGTTCTCCAATTGTGAGAATGTTTTCCTCGCTATACCAATCCTTACCTTTACGTCTGCATCAGATCCTCCCTTTTCATCGATGATGCTACCCAGATACGTGAAAGTTTCCATCACTTCCAAAGCTTCTCCACTAAATGTGATTGCGTTGGTATTATCTGTTTTGTATTTGAGGATCTTGGTTTTTCCGTTGTGTAGGTTTAGACATACTAATGCAGAGGCTACTGCTATAATGACTGTCTTGACCTGCATTTGTTTGTCATTATGGGATAGAAGAATCAGTTCATCCAGTCAACTACCAGAATAAAAAGAAATGCAGAGAATAAGCAAAATTGTCGGACTCTAGTCCTCACTCGGAATGCGTCTGACAACTGTCCTTCATGCACGACTCTGCGGAGTAATCTGTCGTATGAATCCCGGATGATGTTGACGACCTTCTCAGGTAGACCATAGTGTTCCATAATCATGGGAGTTGGTGTATAGCGGTGAGTTCCGTTCAACTGCTTGTTCAACAATGAGCCTTAGTGTCAGTACACAACAGATACTTAAGGAATTCAGCCTGTTAATCTCGAAGTTGAGAGTCTACTGAATCTTTCATCCCGTTCAGCAACACCCTGTTGAAAACCTTTCCCGGTATTGAAAATAATGTGATGTCTCTGCTTAGATCTCGTTTCTTTGTCATCTTGATGAAGTGTCCTTCTTTCCAGTCTGTCAGTGACACTTTTTCTTCCTCCCAAATCCTTCTGAATGGAACATGCAGCATGGTTGCAATTACTTCCATGTCTGACTCCAGTGTTTCAGCTGGTATGTTGTCAGGTCCTACTGCCTTCTCACTCTTGATTTGTCCGATGGCCATCTTGATTTCTTCGATCGTTGATG